AGTCCTGGGAGAATGCCTGCAAGGGGAGAACAGAGGACGAGCTCTAGCTGCAGGCTGGGGCTGGTGGGGGCTTGGAGGGGGGAGGTGGACATGGAGAATTGCACAGCATCTGCTCCCCGATAGCCTCTCTTGGGGAGAGTGGTCCAGCCAATGCTTTAGCCCAGGATGATAAACACCGGGATGCTCCAAGCTTGGTGCTGCTGGTTCCTACAGCATCTTTAGTTCTAAAGCTGTATCTACAAAGGAGGATGTGACAGCATCTCTCGGGGCTGGGGTGGGATGCTTTCCTCCACCTGAGCACTCAGGTCATGTCCTTGGCCACTGTGGGGACAGCTTGTTCTCACTGCATGTGTGGTCTGGGGACAAAGCTGGCCTCTCTCAGGGCATTCACCCACAGCCATGCGGCCAACACCAGGGTCCTTCCTATCTGTTGTCCTGCTTCCAAAGGACATAGGAACCCCCTGCGTTGTCTGGGTCAGACAGCAGAGCAGCCCCAGAGCAGTGGGAATGGAGAGAGATCCAGGGTTGAATGCAAGGAAGGTGACAGCAGGATGATCTGCTGCTTTGAGCACTATCTGGTTAATACAGCAGCTGGCTGGGGCTGAGCACATGGACGGTGTTTGTTCTGCAGGATGGGGGGGCTGTGGGGGAGAGAAATCCCCCGAGGGAAGATGGCTTTTCATTTCCCCCTATCGAGCGGTTTCAGACAGGATTATTTATATTTGACATAACAGATCACCAAACTTGGAAGGTAGTGGGGGTGTGCTCATACTCATTAAGGTAGACAGTTTTCTGACAGAATAAATTAAGGGTAAGAGAAGACTGCACTCTGAGGTTCAACAGATTGTCTTCCAGCCTAAAAACGAGCAGTGAAATCAGCATAAAGCCTCGATGGTAAAATCGTGCTCTTCCATGATGGATGGCTGTCATTTTAGGAAACCTGGCTGACATCCCGATGCTTAGAGTGCAGACAGTGCTCCTGGGTGACCTCACTGGAGCATCCGTACCGCTATGACTGGGGTTTCTGTCATTGCATCTGATGTCCTCACTGAGTAAGCAGCTAAATTATAATGCAGTTAAGGGAAGTGAGTTTATGTAAATTGTGCATAAACTCAGTGAACGACTTGTCCTCACAGCTGCCTTTAGTTGCTGGCCCTGTTGTGGTGGTGTGTGAGTAACAGAATGCTGTTGGCAGCCTTTTATGGCTGTTTCTCTTCTCATCTGGAATCAGCAGCAAAATGCACTGTGGCTGTCAGTCAGTGAAAAGAGATTTCAAACACCTTAAAGACCGTGCAGCTGTAATTAAAGCTGTAACCTCCTTCCTCTGCATGTCAGTGTTCCTGTGCAGAGCAGTGACGAGGAGTCTTAGGAAACTGCTGGTGCTCCAAAGAGATAAAGAACGACAGCAAAATCCCCCCAAAGTGACTGATGCTGATTTATCACCCCGTAGCTGGGGGCATGGCCAGCCAAGAGGTATTTGTATCTGGCAGTGCTCCTGATGTGACAATGCTGAGAAAGAGCAGGGGAGAGATGGAGGAGAGGGAGCAGGTGTTGGGTTGAGCTTGCCGCTCATTCCTGTTCTAATTTACACTTTTCCCCACGTCGTTGTCTATCTCCTTCTCTCCTCGTGATCTAATTCATTACAGTTGGCAGGATTTGTTCACCTTTTGTTAAAAAAAAAATCATGTTCCAACATTGCAGTTCGGCAGAGAGACTAAAAATATGTAGGGTGATGGACTCTGACCCTGCCCAGACCTTTCAGCCCCATTGGAATCACAGCGGGGGCCAATCCAAACAAGAGACATCAGCAACCTCCAAGCCCCACGATCCCTGCAGGAGCAGCCCGGAGCAGAGGTCAGCTGCAAAGGTTGGAGGAAGATGAAAAGTCGTGACAGCATTTTGAATCATCCTCAGACAGCTTAACGAGGGCCGTGACCCATTTAGGGCAGCTCTGAGCACCAGGGGAGGACCTGGCTGCCATGGATGGTGCGGGTCGCAATGTGCCCATGTCAGACACGGCGTGGGGACAGGGAATGGGGCTGAATCAGGCTGAAGTCACAAGGGCTGGCTCTGCAGAGGACAGGCGATGTGTTTTCAGCTGATGATGCTTGTTGGAGAAGTCATCCATCCGTGGGAAGGCCGATGCTGAGGAGCGGTGACGAAGCCACTCCTGGGGATGGGCTGCTCAGCACCCAGGTGCTCCTGGCTCCCAGCTCCTCTTCTGTTAGAGGAGGGTTTTGGGGTTCGGCAGTGCCAGCACAGCTGATGTCACACCATCCCTGGCCATGTGCCGATGCTGCACAGTGCAGACCTGAAGTGAGTCAGGCGTGGAGCTTTGGTCTCCCTCTCCCTTCAGATAGGGATCACACCCGCAATGAGGCAGAGCTGGTGCTCATCTTCATCCAGGCTGAGCCAAGGCTTGCTCCCCAAGCCCCCGCCGGCTGTTCCCAGTGCTTCTCTCTGCATTCCTTTTCCCCAACACCGAAGCCATTCAAAGTGACAAACACCAATCCAAGCAGTCTATGAGCTCACCAAGCTGTGCTGGGCAGGAACACACGCATTGTCCCCCATCTGCAGAGCATGAGCTGACAGTACCTGCCCAGTACTGCTCAGGAAAGGAGCAGGGCTGCGTCCCACCACCCTGGGGCACACCACTGTGCTTTTATCACAGAGATGGAGACTTGTCATATTCTCTCTGTGACATTATCCAGGCAATCCGCCCTTGGTGCGTTTCCAGAAATAGTCAGGTCCACAGTAGACACGAGTGACATCTGGATGCATTACTGTTGAGTTTGGAAACATTCAGTACACAAGACAGGATCTATTGTTTAAAGGTTATTTCGAGAGACTCCGGGCGATTTATCCGGCCATGCAATGAGGAAAGCCTTAATGGCACTGTGATAATTGCCTTTTTCTAAGGGACCTTTCAGAAGAAAGTTAGCAGAAACCCGAAAGAAAGTCTTAGCCTGTCCTCGGGACGTGATCCAAACAGAAAATATGTGGATTTGTTTCTGTTTGCTTCAGTGCTGTTGGATCAAGGCTCAGCAGTGTGTGCCTGACTGCTGGCTCCTTACCTCGCCCTGAGGGCACTCTGCAGGGGATGAAGGTGATGATATCCCCATCAGCAGGGATGCAGCCCTCTGCACCACCAGCTGTAGGGATGGCTTTAGGCCACACCGTGGCTCTGCCCTTGGGCACAAGCTCATCACAGGGTCTGAGCTACAGAAGCCCGTAAAACTCATTACTATGTGAATTGCAAGCGATGGACGCTCTGCATGGCTGAGATTTCCTAACTCTGTGCTGGAGGGGAGCGAGCTGGGAGGAAAAGTCTTTTGTCATTTTATATTTCCCTGGGCAGAGCAGTCCCTTATTCTTCTGCAGCCTGAGCATCTCAGCTGGACCGTAATGGAGCCAAGTGGCCCCTGGTAGCACTGCCCATTCCTCCTGCACCTGCAGAGCTGGCACCACGCTGCCCCTTTACCCACCAAGAGGTTCAGGCTGAGTTTAAAGCTTTAATGAAAGCAAACACCTGTGGTGAGACAAAAAGCTGGAGGGTGCACAGGGGATGCCTACAGCTTGCGATGGGCTCAGCCATCCCTGTGCCCCAGATCTTGTCCGAACTCAGCTTTCCCCTAGGAAATAGTGTGTGCACTGAGCTGATGTGCTGAGCTGCTCCAAGCTCCCGAGCGAGCATCCCCCTTTGAGCCAAGCATGCTGCACTGGCTTTGCCCTGCACTTTACATCCGTATCCCTTTTGCTCTTGGAGTGGATTTGGATTCATTTCAAGCTCTGTTGTGGGTTTTCCTGCCCGAACTCTGGCAAACTATTAACTCTCGTTTTTCTGTTTCTGTTGTCTGCCTTTCCAGCCAGACTGCAAGCTGCTGTGTGCAGGGAATCCCCCACCCCGGGCTGCCTGCAGTCCCACAGTGACCCTGTAGTGGTTACCCCTGCTTTTCCATCACCCCTCGCCCCCAGCAGATGCTGCCCAAGGTGCGGATGCCCGAGCTCTGCTCGCATCCCTCTAGCGGTAGCCACACTGCTCCACCAGCGCTGGGGATATTATGGGTTATATGGTGAAGGCTGAGTTGTCTTAGGGAAAACCCGGCCAGACCTTCACTGTTTAGGTTGATGAACAGTCAGTAGCAGCTCTGCTTTGATATAAATAGTTGCTGCGATTTGATTCTGCTGCATCTTCAGTTGTAGAAATCACTCACGGTACAATGGAGCGCATATTGCTGCCCTTTAGTTAACAGAATATACGTGTGTTACATTGCAAGATACAGTGCCTTTAGTGGAAATGCAAGCCAGGCTCCCTCAGGGGAAAAAAACACAGTATTGATGCTGCTGGAGACTCAGCTTTGAGCAGGGATTTGAGATTTTGGTGCCCTGGGTGCTGGAGAGGCTCAGGAGATACACGGCCTCGAGGGTTGCGCAGTGCCTGCAAGCAGGGATTGGCAGGAATGCCATTTGGAATGCTCTCATGTGGAAGGAAAAGGATCTCTCTCCTTCTGATGGCTTTGCCTGCCGGGTAGCTCAGCCCTGGGAAGATCAGCAGTGGGATCTGGGGGAAAATAGCCGTGCTGCCTGCGTGGGAGTGGAGGTGGGAGCAGGAGGATAATGAACGTTGATTGGGGCTTGCCATTAGGCAGACTTCGTGGTTGGGTTGTGATTTTGCTGTTATTCCCCTGGTTGTCTCTGGAGGACTGATTTGCAACAGTTTAGCATTGCTGACAGCCCAAGAGTTATTCCCAATTCTCACAGTGGCTGGTGGGATTCAGCCCATGGAAAGTGGGGTTTTCTCGGTGGCATTTATTTTCCCTTGAGTTTCTGGCATCAGACTTTTGTTTTTGTTCTATGCTGAAATAAAACAGGGTAGGTTAGCGTAGCAGAAATGCTAAGTCAGGGCTTGAAGCAGTGATTGAGCACCTGGTGGGAAGGCAGGGCCAACCCAGGTGTATGCAATGCACTGAGTGACCAGAAGGAGCCAGGATCCACCCCTGCCCAGACCTCATTTAAGGGTTGGCAGCCCAGATGTGGGTACCTTGTTGGAGGTCCCTGCACACTTGAGGCTTTCTAAAGGTAAGCAAATTTTCCTCTTTTGTTTTTGTGTTCGTATCTACTGTGCTTGGAGTTGTCCTCATTTGTTGCAGCTGCAGACTTTGCCACCCTGATATTATTGCTGTGCTTTCCATCATGTTATAGCATTGAACTTACAGAAAATGCAAGCCTTTGATACCAGATTCTGAGAAACCAAGCACTGATCTCACTTGCTCTCTGGGTGCCTTTGTAAATAGTCAGAGGGCAGCTGGACTATTGTCTGAGATCATAGAATCATCTGAGCAGGAAGGAGCCCTTCAAGGCCATCTGGTCCCATTCCCTGCCGTGATCAGGAGCACCCACAGCTCCACCAGGTGCTCAGATCCCCTGACCTTGGGTGTCTGCAGGGATGGGGCACTGCCATCTCTCTGGGCAAGCTGTGGTAGTGCCTTCACCACTTGACTGGAAGCAAATAAAGCCATAAATACTGCTGGGTTGTGGCAGCACTGTTGTCTGTGGAGTATTGGAGTTCTAAAGCTTAGAAATGGGTAAACCTTTAAATGCTGAAATGCTGTACCCAGGGCTTCTGTTTTGCTCAAAAACAGAGATTTGCAGATGTTTGGATGCTCAGGGGTCACTGGTGGACACCCATCCTTGGGCCTGAGAAAAGCCATCCCCAGCTCAGCCCGCTTTGGCTCTGGGGATGTGGGGAGGATGCACGGGGAGCACTGCTGCATCGCTCTCCAGGGCTTCTCTGGATCAAGGAGTCATTTCAAAGGCAGTGCTTGCGTCGTCCCAGTGCTGATGCCAGGCAAAAAGATACATCGCATGTGTTTTGATTTCTGAAAGATGCCATCCCTGGGAACAGTCGATATTTCAAACATTTGATCTCAGCAGCTCTGCTAAGCCCACGTGCTTTTAAGTAGAGCACTTTATGTGAAGGTTTTCCCTGCTCCTTTCTTCGCCTAATGATGGTTTTCAGCTGAGGTCTATGAATTACTTTATCACTTCTGCTTTTTTGATTAGGGCTGTCTCGTTGCGGTGGGTTTTCTCCCTCTGATCTCTCAGAAAAAGCTGTAGCAGAAGTAAGAAGAGGGAAATAAACGGGAAATTTACTGAAAACGGTTCAGCAGAGTTGCCAGCAGTCTGGAAATTACCCTCTCAGACGACGGTCTGTATTAATTCCCCTGATGCAGCAAAGATAAATCCCTATTAGAAATGAGAACATAAGGAGATTTTACTGCCCATAAGGAAACTCCTGATCACAAGCCATGAGGAAGCACATTGCCTTCTTTTCTCTCCGTTGATTCATGCACCATGCTAACTTGCTGGGCTGGAGTGGGAAAAACACCCTGCTTGCTTTCCCTTGCATGGGTTCAGCCTGAGCTTTTGTGTGAGCAGTGTAAGGCTGTAGCTATGGAAACTCCCTACGTCTTTTTTTTTTTTTTTTGTGGGGTTTTGGTGTTGTTTTTAAGGCAAAAAGGTGTGTATATCTCTGTGGAAATCCCAGGTGCTGCTGCTCAAGCAGCCCTGGAGGTACATCCATGGCTGCTGCTCATCTCTCTGGGGCAGCCAAGATCAGCTCCCCTGTCCATGACACCCAGCGGAGACCCTACATGGGGTAACTCACTAAATGGGGTGAAAGCCCTTTCCTGTAGCTGGACAGAGGATGCTCCTTGGAGCTCCCAGCTTGCATCATTTAGTGAGCCCCAAGGAAACAGTGCTTCCTGCTGTCCCCAACCCATGGGCCCATTGGTCCTGGGCAAACGAGGCTCAATTGAGCTGTTCGTAGATCTTTTGCAGAACACCTTCCTGTCCTTCTGAGCTGCGCTCTCACCTTGTGGAAATGCAGAGCAGAGCGGATTTACTGCTTTGTGGAATTGTACCCTGTGTGCATCCTTCCTTCCTTCCTTTCCCCATCCTGATGGAGGGCTGAGCCTCAGCACCTGTACGGTCCTGGATGAGGTGGGACTCTTTGTTCCCCCCCCAGCATTGTCACATAGAGGAGCACAGAGCTCACCACAGCTCAAGGAATCACTGTGACCTGGTGATGTGCTGCTGTGTGACAGCCTTCCTACTGCCTGGGCCATCCTGGCTGCGGTGTCACAATTCCTCAGAGCTTTGCCCTTGTCCTCTGCGTCAGCATCAGTCACTTGGTGAGAACTGCTGAAGACAGCTCCTGCTCCCAGCCAGGTGCTGTCCTCTGCCAGCAGCATCACACTCTCTGGGCAGCATTTGCAGAAGGACAAATCCCCCTTTTTTCCAACTTCGGTGCTCAGTTTTCTGCTCACTGGGTCTTTGTAACCTTTCAGCTGCTCTATGCTGGGTTATGATGGAGATGGAGCAGTCCCCACTGGAACAGAAAGAAGTGGAAATTGAGGCAGAGATGGATGGCCAGGAGCAGCTCCTTGCTAGGAGCTCTCCCCACCCTCTCTCTTATTTCCCCCTTAGCACTGACTGCAGCTTATCTCAAGCTGCTAATACCAAAACCTGCTCTCTGATGCTAATATCTCAGGCGGACTAAGCCGCAGTTCAAGAGGAGATTAAATGATGCAGGGTGGAAAGACAGCCTGTCTTGCTTTTTGTTTTTTCCTTTCTGAAGGAGTTCAGACAGCTTAGGAGTGTTCTGGATGACAGCGGATGTATGGAAATAATTCTTGGTGCTTATGCAGAGCAGGGTTGTTTGGGCAGGGACAGATGGGATTGAGGAGGGCGAAGCTTTCCAGTGTGGCTTATCCTGCTTTATTCCAGGTGTGCTGGAGCAGCTGCCAACTCCTTCCCTGTTCCCTTTAATATGGAGTTGGCAACACCTTGAGAAGATCCCAGGGCACTGCAATGGCACCAGGTGGTGTTCCTCCTGCCCCCCCACAGCAGCACCACTGCTCTCCTTTTTGCAGCTGCAATTGCTGACATCCATGCCTGGAGTTGTGCTCCCTAAGCCTCAGTGCTGCTTTGATGAGCTGTGCAAATATTATTTTAACATCAGGTGTGATTTAGTTGTATTGAACAACATTATTGCTTCATTATTGCTGCGTGCGTGTTCCCTCTTGCTCTGTGCTGGGGCTGGCATTCCCTGAATTGATTTGCTTGTGGGCATTCAGAAGTGAGCATTCAGAAGGCTCTCTGAGCTGGTTTCTGTTTTAAATCCTAATTAGGGTGGGGGGATCCCAAACTGTCCTATGATTGCCTGGTTGTTGCAAACTTTCCTGTGATATCTGGTGTAGAAAAACCCAAAACTCGGAGTGGCTGTAATGTATGTTATGTTTTGGGCATGCTGTGCTGGGTTCTGCTCTGATGTGTCACTTGTGGGGATGCAAACTCACAGTGTATGGAGAAGTCTTCCATCTCAGGATGGAAGGAACATCAGGAACACAGTGGCTTTTCTGTCAGTTTTGGGTCTGCTGTGTAACATTTAACAAAGTGCTTTGGGATATAAAATGGTGCAGGATGATAATGAGAACAGGCAGAAGGAGTGTGATGTTTGACTGTCCCCATTGCCCCAGTGTTGGCATTGCTCTGGGACCATTAACCCTAAGAAGGGGCAGAGCAGAGAGGAGCAATCCTGGGACACGGAGGACCATACTGTGAGCTATGATAGATGCAGTCTTTATGCCTATGTTATCCTGAGCATGCAGGAGTGGTGCAGCCCTGTGCTCTGGGTGCTTTGCAGCTGGGGAGCCTCGTTCTCTGCCCGTATTGCTGGCAGCTGCCTGGTCCATTGGCTCCCTGTGTGCAAAGCCTTGTGCTGGCACTCTGCCCTGCTGCTCTGAGCAGCCCAGCTCTCGTTCATTGACTGGGTAGGATTACAGGAACTAGGAGAAATGCAGGAATAAGGCTGCATTGGCCACCAAACCTATTTGAGCTGCTGCTTCCCCTTCTGGGTTCACCCTCAGGCAAAACCAAGGCACAGCAGGGTGTCCCACGTTCCTCCTTTTTCCCCCTTGCTGATCTCTTTCCCTTTCTTCCAAAATGGGGTGTAATCAGAAGGATTGGCATCAGGATGTGCATGGAAGAGCTGGAAAATGGCTGCTCTGTGGGTTGGGTGTGCTGCAGAGGAGCAGATCTCAAGCTGGCAGGAGATGCAGGGAGCGTGCTGCAATAAAACAGGCCATGGGCTTACCTGTGTGTGGGTGAGGTGCAGTGTCTTTATGACTGGAACCAGTGTTCCCATCTGAGGTTCAGTTTTGGAGGCTTGCTGTCACGGCACCCCAAGGCTTTGGGGTGACTGTTGTGATGGGATGGGAAAGAATGGGATAGGGTGCAATGAGTGTAGACTCTGCTCATGGAAAGTCCTGATTGGAAGGCTTTTCTTGCCACAAATCCCACAGTCTGGTTTAACCAGAACTTGAGGATCTCCTAAAGAAATCTCTGTGCTCACCCTAGCAGTCCCCAGCTGTCTTCCTGCAGGTAGCAGCAGAGTCCAGCATCCAGCTGTGTCTGCAGCATTGCAACATCTGGAGCAAGGGAAGAAGCCATCGGTCAGGGGTTGGAGCCAGTGAGAGCTCTACTTCTTCCTTCTCCAAGCTGCAAGGAACACAGAAGCCCATTTTTCTCTTGCATCGAACTCTCTATCTGCTGCAGGCTGAAACTACTCAGACATAGATATCCCAGGCAAGTGGCACAGGGTTGTGCCTGCAGCAAAACAGCCTGGAGCAGCTGTGCAGGAAGGTAGCTTAGGTTTGAAGGGGGGCTCAGGTATCCTCCATAGCTTGAGGGCTCCTCACCTTCCCCAAGGACATGGAAGGAGCCAAGTGGCTGTAGACACGTCTGCTGGTGCCTGCGTTCCTCATAGTGAGGCTCCTGCATACCTTCCCCAAGACCACAGCGGAGCTGCAAAGCACTTCCTTTTACCAAGATATTTATTACTGAATATATGAACCTGGGAGCCTGCAGAGCGTGAAATTAGGAACAAATGTAAAAAGGAGGTCTAGACAGGAATTGTTCTGCTTATGGGCTTTCCCCCCTCCCCCCTCCTTCCTTTGCACGCTGGAGAGTTTAATGCTTCCAGGTACATGGTTTTAAGCAGACAAGTATGTTACAGGAGGAAAAATATTGTGATGCAAATGGTGTTGCTCCAAGCGGAGCATTGGCTGTCATGCCATGCATGGCTGACCACAGGGCATCAGGGCTTGGGAGGGAGGAATGCAGAGAAAACTGCTGTGTGCTCCCCTTGCTTGCCCCTGGGGCATGCAACCTTTAATTCATGGTGAGATAGCAGATGGGAGCAGCAAAGGTCCCAGGACTGGAGCACCAGGTGTGCTGCCTCATGCCCTTCTCTGAGCAGCTGATGCTTGCACATCGCTGCTGAAGTTTTGGAAGACTTGTTGTCTCCCTACTCTGAATCCCCACAGGGTTTTCATCCCAGGGATAGGGCAGGATTTGGCAGGGCTCTTACCCTGTGGCCGTACAAGAAGCTCTCAGCCATAACACAGCAGCACATATTCCCCTGCTCCTACAGCTCTGCTCAGCAGCAGCATAAAATGTGATACTGCTTTATCCATTCAGTACTTACCCAACTTTAGCAGGACATTAAGCACCTGAAAATATGCCACAGATTTATTTTCTTTGGAAGCAAGTTAAATCCCTGACAGATACGGTTGCTTTTCCTCAGGTGCTGAAGTAATTTGGGTTTGGGGAAGCTGGTTTTTTGGTTTAACCTGATATCACGAGCTGGAGGCCAGCTTTGTTAAAGCACTTGTCGGGTAGGTGGTCACAGTTCGCTCTCTCTGTCAATTTATGTCACTTATCGCAATCTCAGACTGATGCCTGCAGCTCTTGGGCTATGAAGTGATGCTGCTGCAAGGAGGGATGTGTGTGTGCAGCTGTGACTGTCCCCATTATCCCC